GGTCTGGGCCTCCCTTCTGAAGCTGCTGCCCCCGCGACCCGACCCCGGATAGGCGGAAGAAAATGGATGGATGGATGGATGGATATATATATAACATATATAGACGCACACACACACACACTTTCAAACTGTCTCACCTTGATGACATCTCTGATTTGTGCTCTGATTACTGGACCCAAGATTCCAAGCTCACTCCTCCGTTGTTTTGGCTCTAGCTTTTCAGTGAATGATTCATTTGTAAATAGTGTGTATACTGCCTTYGTGTACTTGGCACCAATACGCGTTGATGTCCGCTCCAAGTACTGAAGCTTGAAGTCTCTGAATAAAAAGAAATCTATTACCAGGACTCAGAATGAAAAGAAAAGGTGCTCTTTAAGAATATACCAGAAGATCATGTCTGAAATATTTGAATTGTTACAGTAAAATTGCTCACTCATCAGTGTGTTCTTGTAAGTTGGGTGCATAGTCCCAAAGAATTTCTTCCGCAGCTATATAGTATGTCCACTCTTTGCTTTGTCGTTGTTCAGCAATTGTCATTTTTCGCACCGGTTCCTCAAAGCCTTCACATTTCTTTACATCCACAAAACCATGCATACCAACTACAGCAATGAGAATACACTTATTGTCTTCCTGTTGTRCCAAAGAAATATCAACGTGCTGTGGAAGTGTTCATCTCAAAGTGTTTAGAAAAGCCTACCTTCTATGTGCTTGAAGGTGTGTGAGGACAGTAGCCAGCGACCTGTGTGTGGAGCCACCAGGCTGATGGTAGCMGACGAGCCACTGATCAATCCCACTGAAGACAGTTTGTGGCCGTTCTGGATCAGCACTTGTCCATTCATATGCACTGAGAATACTTCAGGCTCTGAGCTCATGCCAACCAGATGCAGACTCACAGAGGCATGAGCACACATTCTAACATCTTAGAGCAAAAAGAAAGTTCAAGGTCAGCTTCCTATGTTTCAGTCAAAGCATTACTGACTGTGCTGTAAGCACAACAGCTTCACAGTCAAGCTCTGTTTACATAAAGAGTTATTTTATCAAAACACACAAGAAAATTAGGGCCACAGTGAATTATTATTTTCAGAAACCTACSTTTTTCCTTAAAAATCTGAGTTAAAAGGCAGACTTCTGACTTTAATCATATGGAATGGGTTGTATCAAAGCATATTATGTGTTAGGCCCAGTCAAAGTTCAGACTTATATATAAATCTGTAGCACTTGAAAACTGCTGTTTACAGTCTTCATCCTGTCTGATGAACTTCAGCTATTTTGCAAGGAAGAATGGGCAAAACTTTCAGTCTCCAGTTGTGTAAAACTGGTAGAGATAATGCTTGAAAAGACACGCAGCTTGAAATGCATCCAAATGTAGTTGTACAAACAGTTAACTCGGTGGGACTAAACACAAATCAATGCCAAACTTTTCAGAATTTTATCTGTAAAATCTTATAGCTTTAAATTATTTTATTTCTTGTAGCGGTTTGTTTAAATATTTAAAAAACATAATAAATCACCAAACCAGTCCATCTGAACAACTACAGGAAAAAAATACAGAAATAAAATAATACAGTCTTTAAAATCCTGTCAGTGTCAAAAAGACAAGGCATAGACTGAAAAAAGTGTAGGTAGAAGCCTAAGTTTTTTATACCTTCACTAAAATCAAATCAACATCTTTCTTATATATTTTATAAAATA